TTAGCAAATGATATCTATAGGGGAGGGTTAAAAAAGGGGGGAAAAAAAAAAAAAAAAAAAAAAAAAAAAAAACAAAAAAAAAAAAAAAAAGTTACTCGATAGATATAAAAATTAAAACAAGCCATTACTTATTACATGTTTTTGAAAGCTTAGGCTATCAAACATCGTACAAAAAGTCAAATATTACATTTCTTAATAAAACAATCTTTCATATTTTAATATTTTTCATTGTTTTCTTATTTAGGTGATATTGAAACAAAAATGTATCTATTGCAACACTAAAAGTTACAATATCATATGATAAATAAGCACTGAAAACAGAACAGTTTCAATGAAAAGAACAGTAAATGTGGGAATAAATGTGTAATATATATTTATGAATGGCTGAAACACTTTATGATTTATTGTATATACATATTTAATAAAATCATATTTACAATAATAAAACCAAATAACCAAAATGATCAAATACAACACATTGAGTTCACTTACCTTAAGAACATCTCCTTGTGCTAAATGAAATGTTCTGGCTGAAATATTGATTCCCTTTCCTGCTTGAACCTGAATGCTGTAAATGCATTCATGGTTGTTTTCATAGTTCAGTGGGTAATTTGGAGAAAGCAAAATTCCTTCGTTATTTGTTGCAGATGCACCACATTCAGCTGTAGGTAAAACAAAATATTGAAACACAGTTTAATAGAAGGAATTATGCTTTCAAGTAATTTCATATATGGAAATATAATTCATTGGATTTTTCCCAGGACCTAACAGAAAAGTAATATACAAGGCTTTTGAACTACAGATGGCTAACATGATCTTTAAATAACTTAAGAGAATGAGGGACTGCACCATAGAGAAGACATATATCTACATAGGGGATTATGTAATACCTTTGCTACTATTATACTCTTAGATGAAAAAGTAGTAAGGGGGAAAAGGATGCAAACATATTACAAATACCATTTAACTTTGTGAATTTCTGGGAAATACTTTAAAAGTTATATTTCAGTCCTTTAAAGTATAAAATGTCCTGATTTCTTTTCAAAATGTTTATTGTGATTTTTGTTATTTCTGCCTTTAAAGGTGTTTGAGCATTCTTTTGAACCAATAAATTCATAGCAAAAATACTGTCATTTTGAAAAATTATACAATATTTAGAACCCATCAAGAAAAAATTCCATATCTTTAAGTTACACCAATTTCTTAATTTAAAGCATTCTCAGTACAGAGTTTTGGGAATTTGCTGTCCCTGTATATTACCTTCTGTATGCTCTCTGTGCAAAATTTGAGGGCTATCTAATCACTTAAGGAGAACTTAAAAGTTCTCAAAACATGAAACTCAGATTCAAGTTAAATTAATTACAATTTGGAGAACTGTCAGTAATATTACAAAAACAAACAAATAGTCTTTGTATTTTGGAAAATATTTCAAGTAGTGTTGCCTTGGGTTTTAGCCTTTTCTAATTACTTTCTTCATTACCGTATCATGGGGTGGGTTTAAAATTTCAAGGTTTAACTATAAAAGAAAAAAAAAAATAAAAACAAAAAACCCCAGCAAGTCATTACGTTTCAAAAATAAGATTTTAAGATAATGATTTATGGGAACACTCATAGGATGAAGACAAAGAGATGAAAGATAATATAAGTTACTTTACTTTTTAAAAATGCTACAATATTAGCAACAAAAAAACACAAATGAAGAACTGAATATGATTTAGAAGCTGAGCATTATCAACAATGTGGGAAATAATAAAATGAATGGTGTGTGCTCTGTCAACCAGCTGCATGAATAGAGAAATCATAGCACTTAAGACTAAAAGAAAAAGAAAGATCACAGGCTCCCCATGTTAATTTTCATTACTTTTATTTCAATGATATTTAAATGTGTTCAAACAATGGTAGTTGTATATATGCTTTAGGTTGTATACAATCATACTATCAAAAGAAGCTTACAAATACAGGGACGAAATGACAGAATGAAACTTAAAATAGCAACATGGGTCTAATACGGCAGAAGGCTGGGCTTTCCTGATTAGATGGCCTTTGCATTGCACTGTGGGTGGGGCTGAAAGGGCAGAATTTAGGGGTTTTCACCTCTTTAATTTTACTGTCTGATGTAGGATTCTATTCTCCCTCTCATCCTTCCCTCTCTGTACTATTAAGAAACTTACATCTGTGGAGTGTTGCATTAGGCCATGCTTCCTTCACTTAGAAAAAAAAGAATTCAAAATTTAAATCTACCTCATCTCTTCTCCTTTCCTTATTAAAACTTTTGAATGCTTGTGGAGACCGGTAATGCTCACACCTGGAGCCTATAGATGTTTCACAGTGCATATATTGATAATTATTAGGTCATTTAGAATAAAACATCAGTATTTAAATTATTTTAGAGAGTCATAGAATTCTAAAATTATGTTCTTTGATGCAATTATTGATTTATACGGCAGTCTCAAGCTTTAAAATTTAAAGACATAGTCAAAATTTAGCCCTATTTTTCCTAGTTGTATGAATTTGGTAAGTTAGGTATTCATATGCCTTGATGTTTTTATTATTATAGTAGAAATAATAATACGTCCTTCAAGGGAAGCTTTGAACTTGTGTCTAGGTGTAAATTGGTGATATATATGTGTATATATATATGTGTATATATATATGTGTGTGTGTGTGTATATATAGTAAACATTTAGTGCCAAGTAGGCACACAAAAGCCTAGAAAATTAATCATTATGAATATTTTAAAGAAGTTTGCAATATTATCCTGTTCCCAAAGAGAAGAAATATTCCGTGGTGTAGAAGTACATTTATCTACTAAAAGCCAGAGAATTCTTCATAATCAGCATAAACATATGTGATAATAAAATTATTTTAGCAAGTTTCAGAAACTGAGATGCAACACCTAAAACAAACAAATAGATTGAAAGCCAAGTGAAATTATTTAACTATCCTTTCAAATATGTTAAATTATTATAATAAGTTCTCACATTTGGTAAGTAGGAATATCTTATACCCAAAACATTGCTGAGTTTATACAGTTTATTTTAAAATTACTTGGACTGTATATTCAAAATTCTGTTTTTTGTAGTTTTAATACTTCAAATTCATTTAACTTGTCAAAAATAATTTTATGTCTACTGTAAGAAAATTAGAATTAAAACCAGAATGGAAGAATTAAGAGAAATATTTGGAAATTATCAAGTTTTCCTATTTAATTGGGACTGCTTATATAAATAATGAAGCCCAGTACAAAAAAATAAAAATGCTTTACCCCCTTTTGTAAAAGTATCCAGAACGTCATGTGATTAATGAAATATTGAACCTAGAATGGAAGACTGTTAGAATGGAGCCCTGTCAACTGTATAATACAAACGTCATATCCAGGAAGTTAATTCTATGTTGATTTCTCATTACAGCTCTGCAAGATAAAACTTAATTTCCCCAATGTTATACACAAAGACACCAAAGTGAGGTTTCTTGCTAACATGAAAGTTTACCAGAGCTGGAATTTACAGCGTCATTTGTCATTGCCCATGGTAGGAAAGGACAAACATGCAATTTTTCTTTCAGCTCCAAATACAGTTTTAGTGTCACAGGACGCATTATAAAAATTATTCTTGAAACTCTTACATTAAATTGATACATAAGATATTCTTTATTTTGTAACTTTTACCTAACTATTCAAGGACAACCTATTAAACTAAAAATGATTACTATATGTGGGCTGAGTGTGTCCTGGAGTCAAAATGCTTCCAACCATAGGTATTTTATGAATGTATACTTATTACCCATACTTTCAAATGTTCAGAATAATTATATCAAATCCAGAGAAATTTTATGAACAAAAACTGAATATCCCACTCCACTGGTGGGTGCAGATAGGGAAGGGGGTCTAAATATGTTTAAGATGTATTGTATGAAATACACAAATGTGAAATAAAAAATATAGAAAAAAGAATCTCAGAGAACTATAAGAAGTGAATGCCTATTATAATAGTCTACTTGTATATAGGAAAATGCACACATTTGTTTTCTCATTAAGTGATTTTTTTAACTTTTTTTTTTAATAATAGTAAGAAGGAACTTAGTTTACCAAACCCAGATTTCATGATTTACCTGATAGTATGGAATGCATTACATAGAATCTCATCTTTTATTTAATCTTTGAATTTGAAGCATACTAAAAACCAGCTTCCAGTACTCAATGTAAAGCTAATATTTGTCAGGCACAAAGTCTTTTAAATTTTTTTTTGTTTATTATTTTTATTTTTATTTTACGTGTATGCATGTATTGCCTGCATGTAGGTAAGTGCACCAGTGTCGTGCAATGCCCACGGAGGTCAGAAGAGGCTGTTGGATCCCCTGGGACTGGAGTTATGGACAATTGTTAACTGCCATGTGGGTGCTGTGATTCGAACCCAGGTCTTCTGCAAGAACAACCAGTGCTCTTAACCGCGGAGCCATCTCTTCAGCACCAGGCACGAGCTCTTTTGAGGCACTCTGCCGCACAATTCTTGCTTCCCAACTGGATTTGATCGTTGTTTAAGCATATACTATATGAGAGTTGGGAAAGATGTTTTCCAAGTGGTCTCAGAAATCTTTCTGAGGCATTCAAACTTGGAAATAATATTTCAGTTATGAAGAGTTAGTGCAGAACGTGGCACAGGAGAAAAATATATTTGAAGCAGAGAGAACATTGATGGTAACAATACTGGAGAGTGGTTGCTGCGACTGAAAGACAGTTCAGCAGGTTTATCTGTTCAAGTTTGAGCTAGAGCTACATCTCAGGATGAGACTATCTTGTTATTTATCCACTGTGCTATGGAAAAAAGCAAACTGTGTGCATATATGTATGTGTGTATGTGTATGTTTGTCTATGTGTGTGTTGTGTGTGTATACCTGTGTGTATGTATGTATGTATGTATGTATGTATGTATGTATTTATGTATGTATGTATGTGTGTATGTATATGGGTAATGTATGTATATGACTGTATGTTTAATGGATATGTGTGTATGTGTATATGTGTGTGGGTGTTGGATAGCTTCAGATGGGCAGTGCCACCCTGGGCAGGTGATCCTGGGTTGTATAAGTAAGCAGGCTGAGCACAGGCAGGGGAGCAAGCTAGTAAGCAGCATTCCTCCATGTTCATGCCTCAGTTACTGCCACCAAGTTTCTGACCAGTTCTTTCCTTGGCTACCCTCAATGATAAGCTGTAAGCTATAAGATGAAATGAATTCTTTCCTCCTCAAAGTCTCTTTTGGTCAGTGTTTTATCACAACAATAAAAAGTAACTAATACAGTGTGTGTATATGTGGTTCCTTTTTCTTCCTTGGGTGTCTATGAATAGAGATATTCAGTAGGTGTAGGTTCCTTAAAGTTTTTGTGGTGGGGAACTATTTTTGATTTATGGCTTGCAAGTACTTTTCTTTATGGAAGAAACTATGAATAGAGGCAAAGAGTAAATGAGCTGCATTTATGAGATGATTTTTTTAAAATTTTGGGCTTAAAAACCATTGGTTAACCTGTAAAAGATTTTATGGAAGTAGGTAAAAATAATTCTCCCGAATTTAACAAAAATTTAGTTCCTATTTGCCTTATAGTTTAAAGTCTTGATATCTTGTATTATTAACTGATAAAGTCTAAGATTAATGGCATAGATAACTTA